GCTTGTGGTCCCAGCTACTTGGGAGGCTGAGGCAGGAGACTCGCTTGAGCTCAGGAGTTGGAGGTTGCTGTGAGCTGTGATGCCACAGCACGCTACTCAGGGGGACCACGTGAGGCTCCTGTCTCAAAAAAAAAAAAAAAAAGAAAATACTTGGTTAAATTGTTAAGTCCTTAGTTGGGGGCCAGTTGGTCGGTTCTGACTGGTTAAGTTTGCACCAAGCTGGGTTTGCATTGCTCTTCACTCCCTCCCGGGGCCACGTGCATCAGTCCCCACACTTGGTACTGGGCATCCTTCTAGGTTTGCACATCTTGCCACCTGGCACCAGGGACTGCATGAGGGTCTGATGGCACTGAATATCCTTGGAGGGCACAGCTTTCTTCCAGGGTAACCAGCCCAGATCCTTCTAGCTACCTCCGTGGCCCCCTACTGGTGCAGAGGCCGTGTGCACACATTCCATATATACCATGTGACCACACACACACCCAGGCTAAATGCTATCTCTGGGCAGAGACCTATGTCCTTGCCCACTGCTGCCTCCAGGTGTCCTCACAGCACTGGACACAGAGATGGGGGAGGCCGAACCTGAGCCCCCACCTTGCAGACTGCTGAGCAGGGCGGGTAGGCTCCTGGGTAGGGTTCTTGGTACCCTGACCTGGACCGTCTGGTGCAGGTGGACAGCTACCACCTTCTTCATGCAGTCCTTGATCATCTGGGAGGTGAAGAAGTTGGCCTCGCCTTTCTTGTCCACAGCGATCTTGCGGTAGTCCTCCAGCAGGATGGGGCAGATGGCCTGGGTGGGGTGGGTCATGTAGATGGGCCCATCGTAGCCCACCATCTCACTGAAGTAGGGCAGTGCCCCGCAGTGGTCCAGGTGGAAGTGACTAGGAGACAGGGCATGGGTTATCTTGGAACCACCTTCCTCCATCCATGCCACACCAGCTATAGGCTCAAGGGTCATCTCACTGTGGCACCAGACAACCTCCTGAGTACTGAAACAAAGCCCACAGAACACCCTCTTCCTGAAACAACCTCAGCATCTAGCAAGACGATGAACAACCAATAAACTGTTACTTATGGGGATGTGCTCACAAGGCAGTCATAGCAGTGTGAGGAGCAGCATCCCAGGGGAGAGAGCCACTATCTCTGATGTGGTCAGGATGACCTCTTGGTAACACATGACCCAGGGTGGGATGGTGGGACAGCCCTAAGAAGACGTCACTGGGGTCAGAGGGAACTACAGTGCCCCACCAGGATCAAAAGGGATCTGAACACACAAGGAGCTCAGAACAGCTGAGGCTGCCACTTCTGGAGATGACAAGGCTGCTCTAGGCTTGCAGGACCCTCTGGCTGCCAGAGGACTAGCACGAGTGCTATGGCCATGCCTCTCACACCCCCACCAGACCAAGCAGTGACAGTGGGGGTGTGAGAAGCTGGACCATGCAAATGTGTGCAGGTTATCTGACCAAAACATGAGAGTGAGAGAGAAAGGAAGAGATAGAAGAGGCAGTGGCACCCTCTGCCAGAGGACTGACAAACAGGTGGCTGAACCACAAACCTCCAGGTCAGAGCTAGGGACTCGCACATCTAGACCCACCAGCTAAGTGGGCTTAATAAGCTCCTGAGGCTCGGCGCCTGTGGCTCAAGCGGCTAAGGCGCCAGCCACGTACACCTAAGGTGGCGGGTTCGAATCCCCAGCCCGGGCCTGCCAAACAACGATGGCTGCAACCAAAAAATGGCCAGGCGTTGTGG